TGGTGAATTCTACCTTATCCTCCTTCGTCTGGTAACTGGTGGGAGTGAAACAAACACTGGCTGTCCCCTGACAAGATCCCCGGATCTACAAATCCTTCTCACACTGGTCCAGAGTGCTTGGGGGGTAACAGAATCGTCCGAAGCAATTGGGATAAACTACCTTGCAAAAAGAAATAAAGCAAAAAGGAAAACAAAAAAAATCAGAAACTGTACAGCACCTCAGCTCAGATTTTAATCAATACACTGATGTAATCAAAAGCTGTAGGACCATGCTCAACACTGAATTTTGCCTCCCAAAACTGATACCCAGACTTGCAATTGATACACACGTTCCTGTAGAGTTTCACTCTAAAAGCACATATCATGGGGTAGGGTTACCTTGTCCTAGTTTCGTCAGGAACTAGGGTTAGCTATTCAAACAAAGTATTCACACAATCCGAAATTCAGGTAAGCATCCTGTCCTAGTTTGGAACAATCTCTATGGCTTCCGATATGCAGCTAGGTCGATTAGTCAAAAAGGGTACCTCAGCAAGACTACCTAATATACCTCTCACACCTAACACCGAGAAGTGAAATGAGGATCAAACGGTACAGCGGTAGTCCAGATCCAAGGGTTGTGTTCCCATCGTGGCAGAGCCCGCAACCGGTCAGCCTTTTGGTAAGCTTTTCAAAGCAAGTTTCTGGCAAACCGTTCAGGAATAACAGATGGTAAACATTGTGACTTAGGCGCACCGATGCAAATGCAAAGAAAAACGTAAGTGTAGATAAAATAACATATCATGAATTTGAGTAAGGATCTCTAAATCTCCAGTGGAGTAGCCAGAAATTGTAGCTCGGCTTTTTCGCGCCCCCTTTCGGAAGCTCGAAATAAGCCCTACAGTTCGGACTCCCGCGGTTCTAAATCTAATCTCACAAGTGCAATGTGAAACTGATAATCACCAAAGAGTCCAAATCCGACAAATCTTTTTGAAAAATGATTTTGAATCAAAAATGCCAAAATTGGACTGCTTTGCCAAATACAGAGTCACCACCTAAATATTTTATTTTGGAAAAATTTAGGAAACCCATAACCCATGCCAAAGGCCACGTGTCCGTCATCACCAAAGTTGCCTCGGCTCGGGAACTTGGGTACGAGAGGGAAGGTCATGAATTGAGCACTCCCACTCGCCCAATCAAAGATCGGCCTCTACTAATCATGATATGATATTTTATAGACATTATGTGCTTTTATTCTGGTTATTTAAACTACCTTTACTATGTGATGCGCACAAACAAGTATAGACTAGTTTGCCCAATTTGGAACAATTCAACTCATGTTTTTTTGTGAAAATGGTTTGAATTTGCTACCTCAAATGGGCTTAAAGTTTGCAGATTTGCCACCAAACATAGTGGGCTTAAAATTGATTTGCCATTCAACAAAGTGGGCTTGAAACGCATATTTGTTGAATCTTTCCAATTCAAACAACAAGCCTTCATCCACAAGCACTCAAGCAGTTTAGCAAGTAAGCACATAGCCACATGGAAAACATGCTAATCATGGCAACATTTACATTCATACAAGTATGCTGAAGCGTAAAAACTCACCTAGTACTCCAAGCTAAGAAGATATGAGTTAGAAAAATATGCATGATTTCTAACTATGCAAAAATGCCTAATGCAACACATGTAATATGCAATTAATAGGCTCGACTGCTAATATGGCATATGGATCGATTTGATAACATGCGATTAAACACGTATTCAAGGAAGTAATGAAACGACAATGTAGTTTGAATGATGCGCCGAGCCTCAGTGTATGCAATACAAATGAATGGATGCAAGCATAAAGCATAAGGTATGTTAATAAAAATATGTCCCTAAACTAACCATCAAAAGCGGGTAAATAAAAGGGAGAAAGACGTGGGGTTGGAAGACATACACACACGCACGCACACTTATTACAACATTTCGCCCTCGCGAAGGAGGGTCCGAATGAATAAAAACTAACTAGCTAGCTAAACTAATATAATTAAGCTAATTATTACAAAACTTGAATTAATTAACTAAACTAGTTTAACTAATTATTACAACACAAATTAATTAGCTACAACTAACTAATTGAATAATTACAACACAAACTAATTGAATTACAACATAGGCTAATTAAATTAAACAAATTAACAAGATAACTCGGCGCGGGATGTGAGGGAGGCCCATGCATGCTTGATTTCCACCCGAAGAACATCCTCTGTTTTCCCCCGAATGCTTCTGTTTGCATAACCCTTGCATTGTTTCCTTCTCCAGATAAACTCTACCATGCTTCACAAGTACATTGCTCAAAATTCATTGGTGGTCGGCAGGCCAAAAGTTGTGGCTGGTCAGCCACCATTGAGGGGTTACCATCCAACATTGATGGCCTGCCGGCCAGTAGCAGTGGCCGACCGGCCACTGATGATACACCATTTTTGCTGCAACAGATAGCACACATGGCAAAGAAAGGGTATTCTTACAGGTTGTTTGTACTATGTATCACCCCTTATCATCAACACAAGCTCAAAGGAGTGATACATTTGGCCCTCAAATCATTAATCAAGCAATTTCCATGCATGATGGCTAAGGGACCAATTTGTACAAGTTCAATGAATGAAAAAACAAGACTCAAATGCCGTCACCCTATCATGTATGATCAAGGGCAATGGAGACCTAGGAAAGTGGCACATTTCATCACTTTTGAGTATGAAATGCCCTATTTTCCTTGTATTCAATTATCGTCCGATTTGAACACATGCAATGCAATACAAATGAATGCTTATCTTTCCATTTTTACTTGCCAATTTTGTTTATACATTTTAGTTACCAAATCATTCTTTAATCAATTTGTCCATTGGTGAGTGTCCTCTAAAATGAAAGAAGTGTCAATCAAGGGATAATGTAAGGCAAGAGAGAGAGAGATCATGCCATTGATAATGAACCCTCAAAGAGGATTAAACCATTAAACATGACCTCAATCTCAAGCTTAAAGGATCCCAAGTTTGAAATAACCCTCGAAAGCAAATGAAAGAGTGAAGCAAAGAGGAAGGTTGTAGAGTTTATATTGCTGAAATGGAATGAAAAGCAACACTAAAAGATGCTATCAACTCAAACAAGAGGTATCTAAGACCCTAAAACACCAACTTGTGAGGGCTATTGCACTATAACCATGCAAAACAAGACTCAAATGAACTAACCAACCCAAAACAGATTTAAAACAGGCTATTTCAAAAGCTAAAACATGCTGGGCTTGAGCTAAGTTAAGCTAGAAAAACATGCTAACATATGGAGCTAACTAGGCATGCAAACACGACACAAGGAGGGAAGGCTAACCCCTCCAAATTTGGACTTCAAAATGATTTTTTTACCACTGAAAAACCTCTGAAATTCAGAGGTTAAAAGGCCCAAAAAGTTGGTTTGAAAGTAAGAAGGGTGAATCACCCCTTAACTGAAAATGGCCTCAAATTATCACCTTTAGGCCATAAAAACAGAGTTTTTTACAGTTCAAAATTAGCCCAAAAACAATTGAAAGGGATGGAAAAACAAGTATATGGAACAAGTGTAAAAGGGGACTATTATACCTCTTGAAGCTAACAACAATTTTAGGTACAAAGTCAAGTCAACAACACCTTCTACAGCTCCAAGAAGGCTTCCAAGGACCTCAGCTCAAAAGTGATTAAGTTTGATTAAGGAAGTGTATGCAAAAGTATAGGATTTGTGAGCAAATGTATACAAAATTGCAAGAGAGAAATCTAGAGAGAGAGAGAGAGAGAGAGAGAGAGTTTTGCTCCAAAATTTTCTAACCCTTCAAAATAGGGGAGAAGGTCCCATATTTATAGAAAAACAAGCTTTTGGCTGAGTTATATCAGTCCATACACGTGTATGGTGATTAAGCCCATTGTGCCAATAGTTGGAACAATTGTCAAGAAAATATCTGGAAAAAGGCATCAATGGCCGACAACCTCAATTGGTGGTTGACAGCCTCAGTTGGTGGCTGGTAGCCACCAAGGGTTGCAAGCTTGAAGATTTTGGTCCAAAACAGGGCATAGAATGGATGGGGGTTTGAAAGCTCAAAGACAGGGCATTTCGCCGAGGACCTCGGGCACCAAAATGAGCACAAATAGTCACAATCATCGAGTACACAAACGATGACGTCTAAGTCTTGAGGACGGTAAAAAATGGGGTGTCTACACATATATATTCATGTAAAGAAAGTTAGCAGAAGAACACAACAAAACGCAAAGCAAATAATCTAAAGAAACTGTAAATTCTCATGCAATGCAATAAACTATATTTACCCCCCCCCCCTTAGCAATCTATTTAATTGCACAATTGACTAAAGAATTAAAATGCTAGACAAGTTAGAAAGAAAAAACCTTATAACTCCAAACAATTAAAATAAATATTTAATAGGCAAGAGTTATATGAAGTTACTACAAAACAATAACTATGCAATAATCTTAGAAAATTAGAAGCAATTAACATGTAAATAATTGTAGAAAACTAGAAGCAATTGACTTGCAAATTAAACTAAAAATCAGAAAGCAATTGGCATGCTAATTACACTAAAAATCTAGAGATAAAATCGTTCAAATAATTATAGAACTCTAAAAAATAATTAGCATGCAAATTTAAACTAAAAATTAGAAGACAAAGAACATGTAAATTATCCTAAAAATTAAAAAAATAATAAACATGCAAATTAAACTGTAATTTAAAAAATAATAAACATGTATATTATATTAGAAAAGGTAAAAAAATAATTAGTATGTCAATTAAACTAGAGAACATAACCTTGCACATAAAATAAACTTATACTAGAACCAAACATCATGGAAATCTGCATATAGTTATATAAATAAACTGCATTTCTAATCATGAATTAAAAAAAAAAAAAAAAAAGCATGAAAAAAAATAATCTAAAATTTCAACGGTAAACTACCCTTGCCAAATAAGTAACACATTGTGTCGCAATTCTCGCCGCGAAATCACAGACAAAAATAGAGCTTAAAATTGCAGGGGAAAAACACTCGGTTCTGTAATAATCTCTCAATAAAAACCATTCATTCATTCATTCAAAAAAAAAAGAAAAAAAAGAAATCAAACTCAAAAAACATATAAATAAATAAAAGTCATAGAAACTTCTCTCTCCTCCCTCATTTGGTGCTGAATCTCTTTGGGTTGAAATTGCAACATCGGATCAGACACAGACGCAGTCGCAGTCTCGGAGTTTGTGTCTCTCTCCCGGCGCCGGCACTTCTTGTCGTTGCTCAGAGAGGGAGACCCTATCCACACCCCTCTTCCATCTTCCATCTTCCTCTTTCACTCTTTGATTTTATCTTTTAACAGGGGTTAGAGCATCTCTAATCCTTACTTTTTCTTGTTTTTCCATTAAATTTGAGTAAAAATTTAATTAAAATTTTGATTGGAACATTCTTATTATTTTTTATTTATCAAATATTTTTGAAAAATTTTAAACTTATCCTCACAAGTATATTTTAACCATTTTTTACGAAAATTTACAATTCTTACCTTTTTTTTTTTATTATTATTATTATTATTATTATTATTATTTAAATCTCATTAGATTTGAGTAAAAATATGACTGCCAGAAATTTGGGGAAGGGAGGTTGACTGACGAAATGGTTGGAAAATATTTTGGTCATTTTTTCATAAAGAAAAGTTTAGGAAGGCAGAAAGTTTCAAACGCATAATGTACAAATGTGACACATATATTCGCAAACATGTTTGCAACTACAAATATAAATTTTTTTTGTTTCTCATCTGTATATTTTGTACTTGAAATTTCTGTGTTCCTAACATTACTGTTTTATCAAATTTGAATACGATGAAAAGAAATGATTACGGATTTAAAATTTGCCGATAGATACATGCATGTGTGCTTGTACCGATCTGTGTTCCTTTTCTGGTTTAGTTTATGTCAATTCCTTCATTGTTCTTTGATCCACATTTTGTCTTCTCTCTCCTTTTCATGTTATATTATTCTTTTAACTTTTTTCTTCACAGCAACTACTTTTTGTTCTTTGTGTTTGTTTATAGCTTTATGCAATCTTCTCAACACTTAAGGATTTTTGTCTTCTTTTGCTTTTTGCATGTGGACCCAATTGCCAACTCTCTCTCTCCACTCACACACACACACACACACACGCACATTTTATCTTTGAAAGTGCATAGAGCAGAGTCATTTCCAACCCCTATACCCTCTCTCTTGTTTCTCTGTAACACTCTGGAATTATTTGAAAGGCATGTTGGACTTTTTCTGCATTTTTTTGTTTTACTTATTTGCTTCAAGGATAATTATTTCTGCAGCAGTTGAAAAATCTTTGATATTGCTTTTGCTAGGAAAATTATCTACTAATTAGTTTGGAATTGCGTTCAAATGTTCAATTTGAATTTTATTTGTTGTGGATTCATAAGAATCATGAATTTGAATGCTTCCATTTGTTTTTTGTTTTTTTTGGGTCCTGCAGGTTATATGGAGAAGTCAAACCTTTGACCTGAAATTTTTGGTGTTAGGATCACTATCTCTTGTTCACTCTCTTGCTAGCAGTGCTCACATCAGTTTTGGTTTTACTCTTAGATGGCTACTGTTCGCTAAGGTAAGCTCTTTTATAAAATGCATTACATGATGACATTTGCTCGAATAAATGATACAAGGATGTTATGTTTCTGAGATCCACATGCGTATTTGACAAGTGTTGAGTCCTTTTGTTACTTTATCACTGGTAAGCTTTCTGTTTCCTTAATCTTTATTTGCTTATAAATTTTATTGACGTGGTTGTAAAATTGTTTTATCATGTTTCTGGTTGAGTGATGATTTTGGGTTTTAGGCCTCTCACTAGTAACATTTTCAAAGCTTCTGTTTGATGGATCTCACATTTTGGATCAACATGGTCAAGTTTTTACCTGCATTTTATGTATTGAAGAGGTTGTTAATATGTTTTTGGGCCAACCCGTCATGGGAAAGTGATTTGAGAAGTTACTATAGCTGGCTGTTTGATCATATGATCTGGATAAATTTTATGCATAGAACTCAGAAGTCTCCCAGGTCAAACTATGTACCATGCTTACAATTTGGACAGTGCATATTGACATTGTCTCTTTAGGGTCTTCAATTACTAACACCAACTATTGCTTGATTGAGTAGATCACTTAGCTTGGTAGCCATTGAACCTGACTTAAGGAATGGAAGAAACACAATGTTCTTGTTATGCATTTTGGTAGATGCAACTGCTGTATTTGAAATTTATTGGATGCTCCAATGTGATGTAACTGGTACCTCTTTTTTATTTTTATTTTTATTTTTTTGGTTTGCAGTATCACTGTGAGGTTGGGCATCTCATATGAATAAAATATCTCGTTAGCATTTGTAAAGCTAGTTATTCATAATGGGTGCTTGTCTATCCACGCCATCTCACACAATCAAATCACAGAGGAAATTCCATCGCCGGTCCGGAAAAAGAAGGCTTGGAAGGCTTTCTAAATACATTCCTGATGGAACAAAGAAAACGAATAGTAATGCAGGAACTCATATAACAGATTTTGCTGTTAGTGAGTTTGTACAAACAACAACCACCTGCAGAAGATCTGAGGGTTCCAATTCAACAATCCATGTCACCCAGTTGCAATGGCACCATAGTCAGGTTGATTCTAATGGTATATTCTTTATTCCCTTTTTAGAGTTTAATTATTTTAGAATATAATTTCCCCGACAACAATGAGATTGTACTTGATTAGACTTCGATTGTGCCTATAATAGGTTGTTTGGTATTAATTTAGAATATGTTCCAAGCTATGTGATCTTTAATTATCTGATGGCACAAAGAATTGATCAATGGCTGTGTATATTTGGTATCTGTCGATAATTTTTAGTTTATATTCTGTTCCTAATTGAGTTTCTTCATGGATTAATTGTTGTTTGTGATGGAATAGGGGTCCAGCAGTTTATGCATGTTTATATTTATATATCTTGCATCACGTTTCTTCATTCATGTGCTAGTCCTGTTGCTTGCTTATGCCTATGAATCAAGCGTACATTTTCTTTAATCTTCTCCATCACAAAGAATAACTTCTGAAGAAGGTCTGTAGTTATTACAAGAGATTGCTTATTAACTTGGAAATGACACAAGAAATTCATCTTTTCAGTAATTTGCCAAGAGGAAGCATGGTTTGATTCACTTAGTATTCTGGAGTCGGACTCAGATGATGACTTCCCTTCAATGCTTCCCTCAGAATTTCTCGTATTTTGGCAGCACTTAACCGACTAACATCCTTGCACTTGGGATGCAAATCTTTCACAAAATTCTCGATCACAACCGGACTACACTTCTTTAACACCTCTAATTTGTCGTTGAAACAACTGACAGTGGGTGCGTACGCACAATCCCTTAGTTTGCGCATCAAGCCAATCTTGTGCGATGCATTAACGTATTTCATTCAGTCTCGTAAATTCATTTGAAGATGAAACAGACAATATCCATGGTGTGCCGATGGGAATATGTTTGGCATGGATTGCAGTAGCCCAACGTGGCGGTCAGATATGAAAGTCAACGTCCTACCACCGCCAACAACATCTTTCAAATTCTGAAGAAACCATTCCCAATTGGATGAATTCTCAGAATCAACAATAGCGAACGCCACAGGAAACAATCCTACATACATAGCATGAAAGCAGGTGGTGTAATAAAAAATGATATAACCAATTGGATGGCATGCAAATGGTATAATCAAATTTGGTATTGCAATGTGACTTCTTTTATGGCCATGTGTACAAGTACATGATGGAATATAATATTCCTGCAATAAGAATGTGTAATATGTTTTATATTACATTTGTTGTCAATTCCATGACATCCCATTTGTACATGGTGGAAAATATACAGTCAAGTTGCATTGTAAAGCATATCAAACGGAACACTATCTGACTAGGTATACATTAGGAACAAAAATAAAACACATTGATACCTTGATTGTCGTCCTTAGCTGTAACAGCAAGTAAATTACCCTTGAACCTACCTTTGAGGAATGTTCCGTCTAGGAAGAGAAAAGGCCGACAATGATTAAAGCCATCTATACAAGCACGAAACAATATGAAATACCGAACGAACCTCTCACTTTTTTGATCAAATTCAAGACAAATGTAACTATTGGGATTTTTTTCCATAACGGCTTCACTGTACCACCTTAGTTGGTCGAACGACATGGCATGATCCCCATAAACTTCACCCCTCACTTTCTCGACACCCAACCATGCTACCCGGTAACTAATGTCCAATCCATAGTCATTTTTTAAATCAAACACCACATCCGTGGGGCGTACCAATGGTTGACCACGCATCCAATCTACGAAAACAGTAGACACCAACTCAGACCCCGTACGCGGGTTCCTATAAGTCCGTACTATGGCACCACATTTGTGTACACTGTCGAACCTCTTAATACATAACACCCCGCTCGATGGGAACGCCCTCGCATGAACTGACCAAACACAACCCGTTGCCACTGCAAACTTACACACTACAGTAATACAAACCAAATCATTTTTAATGTACTTGAATTGGAATCCATGTTCCACTGCATACTTGCATAGAACTCCACGCAATTCATTGGCCCCCTCGTCGAAACATTGGCCCACATGGGTAATTCCATCCGCCCATTGAGCGGACAAAAATGTCTTCTATTTGTTAGGGCAATATGTTGGTAACAAATCCATTTGGTCATCATGACCAAAATTCGGTTCACCAAGGGGATTCACACCATTCTCTAAACAATCCACCACCCCAACATTGCCCCATGTCCCAACACTGCGTGCCGAAATTACAACATCATTGTGATTTAGCCCGAATGACTTAGCAAGACACAACATATTTTTAATATCGTCATCACTGTCCACCTTAAACTTCTTATACTCGGGAACATCAAACAACATACACACCGCCCCCAGCACCAACCCATCAACTTTCGCACAAATAAGATCAACCAACTGTGTGAATGTCTACCCGTACTGCAACCGAACAAGAACAATGGTCTGTCCGTACGTACAGACCAACAATAGACCATTATCCATACCTGTTATGTAAGGCACAAACCATCAAATCGCATTTAACGTTCGTAGACGCAAAAACATCAAAATGTAAGTTATATTAACATCAACAAAAAAAAACACACACACACACACACAAAATAATAATCCACACCAGCAGTTACCATTCACAAAACAACACAACCCCCTCCCCCCAACACACCCAAAACACCCAGCCACACACACCAGTAAACAAAATAAAAAAATAAATCCCAACACACCAACAATAAAATTACTCACCTATTACACTATGATGGTTGTAACAACGCCTGAATCAGTCAAATAGGTAAACAAAAAATGGAACCAATGAGAACAATGTCAAACAAAAAGAAACAACACAATGTCACCCCTAAACAAAAGGAACAACACACTCTCCCCAAAAACAATGAGAACAATGTTAAACAATTCAAAAATGGAATCCCGAAGATAACATTTCCTTATCTCCATCCAAAACTGAATCAGTCAATTAGGAAAACAAAATCAAGGGTACACATGTAAGAAAACAAAAAAAACAAAAACAAAAACCCATCTAAATAAAAGATACCAAAAAAATAGGACTAATTGGTGTACAAGAAAACTCTTAGGACCAAATGGTTTAACTTTCCTCCATTTAGGATTTATTAGTAATTTTTTCTTTATTTTATTACATTCTTACATCAATTTTATTTTCGTTTATTTATAAATAGGAGTCCAGATCCTCCATGTGGATCTTTTCTATTTGGCTCCTTATTTAGGGATTGTTTGAAGTGTCCTAAACAAGTGTATTTTTTGTCTTTTCAGACTAAAAAGTTGAGGTTGAAAATATGAATGTTTGGGTTAATTTTTTGACTTTTTATGGAAAAATGTGTATTAAAAAATTGTATAAATTAATGTGTAGGGAAAAATTAGTATTGGGAGTTGTGCAGCCGTAATTGTTGACTTTTGGTGAATAGTGATAACTTTTTAACTTTTTGAGTAACTTTTTGACTTTTTTGAGACTTGCCAAACTTGGCCTTAGTGAGTTATTGGGCTCAGTTTTTAACCAAATTTCGATAATTTAAATCGTTTATACTTTTGAATTTGTCAAGTATATCATACTTTTAAAATTTAAAATTGATCGGATATCGAAAATCACATGTTTGGATCATCGAATTAAAAATCATTTATTAAAAAAAATTAATAAACAGTTTTATTTTTTAATAAAATGATTTTTAGTTCGATGATCCGAACATGCAATATCTAATCATTTATTTTTTACAAGTATGATATACTCAACAAATCTTAAAATATGAATGATTCAGATCATTCAAAATTGGATCCAAAAATGGGCCTAATGACCTATCAAGTATGAAGTCAAGTAGAGAAGATCAAAGGAGAGGATGTAAACTCCGTAAACAGGCGTGGTTGATGTAACACTAAAATTTATTTTGAAATTTTATTTTATCTTCTAAATAATTTTTAAAATATCATTTAGACCTTTAATATATAAAAAATTATATTTAAATATTTAATAATAACTTTCATTTAAAAAGGTAAGAAAAATAAATTTTAAACAATAATATTTACAAATATATATATATATATTTAAAAAATATGCTCAATTAAAAATTGTCAATTTAAATCTCAAATTACTTTAAATCTGTTGTAGAAAAATTAACTGAGCCTAAAATTCTAAATATACCTCTCTCTCTCTCTCTCTCTCTCTCTCTCTCTCTCTGCGCTCAATTATAGCTAGCATATCTCCTAGATTAACGTCAATAGGGTCGATCGATTAATAGTAGATTCGAAATTGTGTGGGTAAATATCTACGCCACACATATTCTGAGAAAAATATCGTCTTTCGAGATTTAGAAACCGATATTGGATGATGAAAATTATTATTAGATGTTTAAATTTAATTTTTTAAAGATAATTTGGGAGATAATGAAATTTCGGTATCACATTAATAATTTTTGTTTGATTATAGATGATAATTGACTGTAAAGATAAATTAATCAAAAATTAAATAATTTAAATGTAAAATTAATATTATTAAAAGAATAAGAGTTAAATTAATTTTTGAGTAATAGTTTAAGAAGTAAAATGAATTTTTCAATTGTCAATTTTTTTGTAGTAGGCTTTAGCAAACAGTTTTATTATAGATTATGTACCTAGTTTGGTTTAAGAAAATTGAGTCGCCCTTTTTGAAAATGGAAGGTATGTTTGGTTTGTCTCTCAAAACATGTTTTTAGAGAAAAAAATTTCAAAACCATGTGTAGTTGAAAAAAATTGTAAAAAAAAATTTCAAAATCATTTTTATTTCTACTACATATCAATCAATTATTTTTTTTTCTCTCGTCTCTCTTTCTCAATCATTTTCGCACTCACACACATCTATTCAATTACAAAAAAAAAAATATCAAATTATCTTAAACTCTAAAACTATTTTCAAAATATACAACCAAATAAATTTTTAAATTTTCTAAACTCTTTTTAGAAAATAATTTTTAAAATAATATTTCACAACACAAACCAAACAAGACCTGAGTTTTTTGTTTTCTGTATTTTTTTGTTTGTAGTGAAGTTTTTCAGTATTTTACGCATTTTTTTTTTAATTTTTTGGATACACTTAATCTAAATAAGTTTAAAAAGTATAATATTTGTGAAAAAAAATTAAAAATTACCAAATGAAAAAAATATTTTTTAAAAAAATTTGAAAATTCAATACATTTTCAATTTTTGTATTTTGTTATATTCAATAAACTTTTTAATATTTGTGTACATTTGTTTTTACTTTTTAAGTATATTAAGATTAAATGAATTTTAAAAAATTTAAAAACACATTTTTTTGATTAAAATATTAAAAATATAAAAATACGAATTGAAAACTCATATAATAGTTTTAAAAACTAAGGATTATTTCAATTTTAATTTCTTCTGCTTCAAGTTGTGTTTTCAATTTTATTCTTAAAAGTTGTAAGAGGATGGCACATTGTGTAATTAAGGATTGTTTTGGGAACCACCTAAAATATTCAAAAAGATTAACTATTCTTTCTATTTTTTTACACATTTTCAGATAAAAAAATTATAAAGCCAACTAAACTACTCACTTCCCAAAACAGTTATGTCTAGATCATCGACTCTCCTAACTAGTAGTGTAAATTTGGCCCGACTCAGCTTACTGTCGAGCTGTGTGAGCTACCACCAAAATTCAAGTCAAGTTGGGCCGGCCCACAAGCTAGAAAATTATGCCCAGGCCCATGGGCTATTCGAGCCTCGGGTGGGCTGGCAGGTTAGACCAACAAGCTTAGGGCGAGCTTGACAGAGTATCAAAACAGTATCAGTACAGAATCAGTATAAGTATGACAAATCAAGACAGTACCAGTACAGAATCAGTATGAGTATGGCAAATCAGGACAATATCAGTGCAGAATCAGTGTGAGTATGGCAAAAAGAGAATTAGAGCAGTTAGATGAATGAGAAAAGTAAGAGTACCTGATAACCGTGGAAAGCAAGTAGTGCCTCCCTCCTTCACACCATGTGGACCAAGGAGTTGACCAACCCGAGGAGGTCGTTCACGTACTCCATTGGCACCTACAAGTCAGTTTGAACATCAGCATATAGGAAAAAGAGAATGTGAAATACAAACTGCAAGACAAAATGCATACATACTGGACGTCAGGCTCCCTAACATACTCATCCTCCTCCAGCTTCTCAATCGAGATCTGGTGGGCCATCCCACTCGGCTGATAGTATGTGATCATGGCCGGAATCACCGGCAGACCAGCAACATGTACAGCGGGGGCATTCCCTCCAACATGGGGCTCAACCGCACAGGCGGCACCTCTGGCAGCAGGAATATTTGCAGCACCTCTCGCACGAGCTTCGATCAGAGGCAGCATCAAGTGGGTCCTAATGAACTCAGCGTAGACCCCAATCCCTCAGAAAAGATCAACATCCTACCCCGCCAGGAACTGTATGATAGCCTTGACTGGTAAACTGTCAGCAATCTTCATCGATACAAGAGGAGGAGCAGGAACAACAGGATCCTGTGATCCCAGGGTCTGGCACACAAATCTCTTGCCTAAGTACCAAGTCCTAAAAAAAAGACCCTCTAGCATAATTCGCATCCGGGAGGTGTCCCAGGACCCGGCATACTCATCCTTCGTCCCAGCCAGCATCATCACCCACAGGTGTTAGGTCACTTGCAAACAAAGAATTCACAGTTGTCAGTTGTTATCAGTTGTTAAAGAGTGGAATGGATCAAAGAAGTAGTAATAGTAATGGAGCAGAAGTGAATATGAGTTTTAAACTACCTCTCGCGTTGTCACCGTATCGAAGAAACAACGGTAATAGGCGAAGACAGTAACACCGCGGCACCAAGGGTGGCACTTGTCGTCGTACCGTCTGCAGTAGGGCACAGCAACCTCTACTTCGTCTCTTGGCATAAGGGCAAGGGTGGGGAAATATGTATAGACCCAGAGCTACAAGAAAAGATCATTTTATAAGTCAATAGGTAGATACAAAAATAAATATAGAAAGTGCAAAGCAGAAAGCATAATGGGCAAACAGAAATGAACAGAAGGTGTAATGTGTACCTCTCAGGCTC